CCCCTGCGCCGGGGTCCGGGAGCGCCCCAAGGGAGGTGCCGCGCCGGCGGAGCTCCGGCCTCGGGGTGCGGAACGCTTTGAGGTGCCCGGGGCGCGGGGCCTCTGGGTACCAGATGCCGCGAAATGAAAGAGGCGTTCTGCGAGGCGAGAGCCAGGGGACTAGACTGGACGCGCAGGGAATGGGCGCAAAGCGATGGATTTAAAAATAAAAAGTAGAGGTGGTGGTCCCACTCTTTCTTTCATGAGAATGCCAGATGCAGAACGGGGAAGACCAGGGGCCCACTAGTTCTGAGAGGGCGGCGCACAAAACAGAGTCCACGTGACGAAGTGGAAGTCTGCACCCCACAGTGCAAAACTCTGGAAAATACGGCTGTAGCTCAGAGCTCACCCCCTTCTCTGGTGCCATAAAGGGGCAGAGATGGCTGGGTCCCTTGAGTCCCCAGCCCCTGACACAATGCCGGACCCAAGGCTGGTCCCACAAATCTGCCCCTTCTTCCGAGCTGACTCCCAAGTTTATCCCTTAGGGCAGGGGGTCGGGGTTCAGGGGTGGGGGTGAGGGTGAGGGAAAATCGGGCGGGAGGTACCAAGTCCCTGGGGGGGGGGGGAGCTCCACGTAGGGGTGGAACTGGAGTTCCCAGTTGTGAAGCTCTGGCTCCTGTCCACTGGCTGCTCTGGAGGACCAGTGTGGGGAAGAGAGGGCTCTGAGAAAGAAGGGGCTTGTGGGCTCAGGCTTCTCCACAGAGGCTGGGATTCCATTCCAAGGAAAGGCCCAGAATGGACCCCTCACCCCAAACTCTGGGCCAGGTCCCCAGCTATATCAGCTTCAGCTCGTGGTAACTCAGGGGCACAAACTGATTACAAGGGTCAGACATGAAGTATCCACGGTACAGTGTCCACCCTGGTGCTGTGTCCTTGGGTCATGCCTGGCCTAATTCACCCTCAGTCCATTCAGGGGACTGACACCTGCATGACCTCCCCCATCCAGAAGGAGGAGGACCCAGACTCCCCGCTCTCTCACCTCCCTGACCACATGCTCCCCCTCGCCCTCTGGCTCCACCCGGGAGTCACACCTTGGCCTGGGAAAATCTTTGCAGGGACCTGACCCCACGGAGCCCTTCCCACTCAGACTGTGCCCCTGCTGGTGTGGTCCCCCACCCTTCCTCTCTAACCCTATCAGTTCTGTTGAGACCCCCATGCACATTTACCCTCCTGGGTGCCCAGATCTGGGGCAAAATATCCACTTCAGCCACACCCAGCCTAGCAGGCATCTGCTTGCTTGGCTTCTGAGTCTGAAATCTCCAGCCTCAAGGGGCTCACGGTGTCCAGGGACCCTTGACCCCTATTCCTTCCTTAGAAGTGCTTCCATGTTCCTGAAGCCCTTAACCCTAGGACCCTCGCTCTTAACAGAGGTTTCCCATAGCCCCTCTGAGTCCCACCTGCCATCACCCATTCCCACACACCTGTCTGTCTGCTGCCATTCTTCCGGGTGGTGGAGCAGGTCCTGTGTGTGTGTGACACCTCACGTGACTAACCACACCTCCAGCCCTTCCATTATGACCCATTATGACCCATTATGACCATCTGGTAGCGTAGTGGTTATGAATCAGGCTGCGAGCCTCAAGGTCAGCAGTTCGAAACTACCAACTGTTCCGCAGGAGAAAGATGAGGCTTTCTGCTCCCGTAAAGATTTCCAGCCTCGGAAACCCTGTACAGGGTCGCTATGAGTCGGAACCGACTCCACAGCACATAACAACAACAACAACAATGACCATCTGGGACTCAACTGCACGCAGAGTCCTTCTGACTTGGGCAGAGTGGAGACAGAGCCCTTGTGGGCTGACCTTTCAGGGATGGGAGAGACTATACTAGGTAGACTGTGGTTCCAGGATTCACTACACTATGAGGAAGAGAAAGCAGGGTGCAGGAACTTAACACCTCCCCAATTGCCTCCAGCCATGCCATGTTGCTCTCTTCCCCTTCAAGAGCACAGGTCATATTTGCTCCTGCCCCTTCCACCAGAGCGCCACCTTGTGGCTCACCACCATTGTCTCCTTTACCCCCAAGAAGACAGTCTCCTGAAACTGTTCACACCACTGTCCTCCTCCCGTGGCCAGCTCAGCAACTCCCACCTTGCTGCTGTCCCTGCTCCGTCCCAGGGCTCCAGTGTCCCCTCTTCTCTCTGTCCTTCTCTGTGTCTGCTTCTCCTCAAGTCCTTCCTGTGTCCTGTGCTTCCCCCTAACTAGTTCTAACTGAAGTGTGACACACACACACACACACACACACACACACAGGGATGTGGATTGAAGAAATAGACATGAAGAAATTGACATCCTCACAACTGGACCAATAAAACAAGATCATGATAAACAGAGAAAGGGTTGAAGTTGGCAAGGGTCTCATTTTATTTGGATCCACAACCGAAGGCCATGGAAGCATCAGACAAGAAATCAAACTGTATATCACGTTGGGCAAATCTGCCGCCAAAGGCCTTCTTAAAGACAATCACCTTGAGGACTAAGTTGTGCCTGAAGCAAACCACGGTATTTTCAATTGCGTAGCATGCTGGACAATGAATAAGGAAGACCAGAGAACAATCCTTGTCTTTGGATTATGGTGTTGGTAACGAATATTGACTGTACCCTGGAGTCCCGGTGTGGCCCTGTGAGTTAATGCCCCTGACTGCAAAGCTGTTTGAACTGCAAGGTCGGCAGTTCAAGCTCACCAGCTGCTCCTCGGAAACCCTATACAGGGTCGCTATGGGTCGGAACCGACTCGACGGCACTTCACAACAACAACAATGGACTACCACAAGAATGAACAAATCTGCCTGAGAAGCCAGGATGCTAAGACTTTGTCTCCCTTACTTTGGACACGTAATTAGTAGGACAAGTCCCTAGAGAAGGACATGCTGTTTGGTAAAGTAGAAGATCAGCAAAAAAGAGGAAGACCCTCAACAAGCTGGACTGAGGCTATGATCACAGCAATGGACTCAAACCTTAGAATGATGGTGAGGATGGTGCAGAACTGGGCAGTGTTTGTTTCATTGTGTCCTACACGGTGATGCTCTGAATCAGAACCAGTTCAATGACACCTCACAACACCACACACACCAAAGTGCAGGACTTAAATGTTCGCCTCCATGGCTCACCTGTGTAAGCTGTCACATAGCAAACACAGAACCACCTGAGTTAACCACCCTGAACACCCTCTCTGCTCACCCAAGGGTGACCCCATCTAATGCTTTCTTGGTGCTCGTGGGTACAGACAGTTTTGTGTCTGCTTTCTTTTGCTCACCAGATGCACTCATGCTCTGTAAGGGTGCCTGTAATTTATTCAATGTTTCATTTTTATTGTGGAAGGATACTGCCTGCCTACTCCCCTGCTAAGGGACAGCCAGGTTGTTTTCACGTTGGGGTTATTATGAGCGGTGCTGCGTGTCCCCACTCTCCCCTGCGCTCATCTCTCGGGCATTCACACTCCCCGGGGAACCGCTGGGTGATGGTGTGTGTACATTTCTCTTTTATAGTTGATACAAACAGCTTACCAGGCAAGAAACATACGCTGGAGAGACCAGGAAGCTCTGTCCCAAAGCCTCTGTGAGAGCACAGACCTGCTCACACCCTGACTTGGACTCGCAGCCTCTAGCATGTCTGCCTGAAACTCCTGTTCCTGGAACCCACCCACTGTGTGCCTCTGTGTTCTGACATCAGGTCCACTGGGCTCGTGCGTTTGCATGTGGAGGTTCCACACAGGGCCCCCCCTCCACCTGGCTCAGCCTCCACATCATGATTGGACCTGGGTGGACTCCACTCCTCAGCTAAAGGTTGGTGATGGGAACCTACTCAACATTGCCACACAAAAGGCCTGCCGCTCTGCCCCCGCGAAGACCACTCCCGAGAAAACCCCGTGGGGGTAGTTCTTCACTGTTGCACGTGAAGTCCACCAGGAGTCGGAGTGGGCTCGATGCACAGGTTTGGGTTTTGGTGTTGGGAGAAATGTCAAGTGTGGCAGGAGCTGGTGTCGCTCCTGAGTGGAGGAGCTTCTCAAGCCTGTGACATCAGCCAGGTGCTCTTATCCCACTTAGGACCACAGACAAGCATCAACCTAGCGTCTCCTCCATCTATCAGGCTCCTGGAGAGGAACCTACAAAGAGCAGGGCCCCTTGAAAGACTTCAAGGTCAGTTTATGATAATGGGTTCTAGGATACGACGACATCAAAAGACAAGACAGATCAATGAGACTTTGTCAAAATTAAAAAGTCTTGTTCGTGCAAAGGTGCTAGCAACCAAATGAAGAGAGCCTTATATCTGCTTCTCCACCAACTCAACAACAAGACGACAGCTCAATCAAAACAATGGGGACAGACGTTTCACCAAAGAAGAAATGCCAATGGCCAGTGCTAATGGTAGGGTAGGAGAACAAGAGGAAGACCCCCAATAAGGTGAATGGATACTGTGTCAGCATCAATGGGCTAAACATAGCAACAATTGTGAGGTTGGCCCAGGACTGGGCAGTGTTTCATTCTGTCGTGCATAGGGGCACTGTGAGTTGGTACCAACTCGATGGCACCTGACAACAACAACAACAACAACAACAAGCATACAGAAAGATGTGCTGCTCATGAGTTGTCGTCATGGTTGTTGTTGTAGGGTCCTCTGGCTCATCTCTGACTCG